ATTTGAAATCACTGATATTGTCAAAGAACTACATAATTTTCTAATGGAAAATATATAGTAGTTCTCACTACTAGTAGTCTACTAGGCAAGTAAACCACATAGGATCTGCACAGGGAGATTCAGAAATATTAAGATTTGTGAACTTTTGGGTACTGTGTAGAATCAAGCTAAGGGCCTCTAAACCTAGGCACCTAACACTACCTAAAATCTGAGCTTGAAGTATGGAACATTTGCGACACTATTCCACTATAGCAGAGCAAATAAGTTACCTTTCATCACTTCCACTGTTTTGTTAACTAGTAAATCATGAACTTTAGGTTATGGTTAGAAATTGGTATCCCAGAGTCCTATGTGTTGACTATTTGGGCTGTGGACATCTGGACTCATAAAAGATTTTATGGAAAGGTGATTGGATCATGAGGGATGTAACCATGACTTCATAGCTGTTCCTCCATTCAGCCATGATTAGAGGAAGTAGGTCACCGATGTACAACATTTAGGCACATATATTGCCTCTGCCCTCAGAAAAACATTCTCTAGCTCTAACTCAGTCTTTCTGCTTCCCACTCTCCCCTTCCTTCTGGATGTGAACTGTCCCCTCTGCCTATGGTTACCAGACTCCTACATTTTATTTCCGTAAGCCATATAAATAGAAACAACTATATATGGATCAAAAACTTTGAAAAGTGAGGGGAAAAAAAAGCTTTCTCTGCTTCAGTTTTTGGGCATTTTGTCACAGCAGAGGAATTTTACTAATACATTAAAGTCTGTGAATTTATCTGTGGTCATCTGTTTCCTTACATATTTCAGAAGGTACACAAACATGCAAGCCCTCCTTAATGTTGTCTAAGTCCTAAACTTTACCCACAGTCTCACATATTTACACCTTTCTTTCAATGTATAGGAAAAGACAAATCCATGTGTTCAGTTGTCCCATACAGTGTGGAGGGTAGATACAAAGAAAAATAATGAACTTTTTGGTTTTTTTTTAATCTTTTTGAGACAGGGTCTGCTTGTAGCCCCAGCTGGCCTGGAACTCACTATGTAGTCCAGCCTGCCCTTGAACTCACAGAGATCATCCCGCCTCTGCCTTCCATGTGCTGGGATTAAAGGCATGTGCAACCACACCCAGCAAGTGACTATTTCTAAATATATAAATACACAAAAATTAGGATTACAATGCCATTGCTACATCATTTTCATTATATTTATCGTAATGTCTCAAATACAACATACAACCTTTAATAAAGATATCATGCAAATTATTTCAGAGGAAGTCCACAAGGAACAGATCCCTGGAAAAACCAATGCCCTGATTTATCAGATTATCCTTGTTTAGCCTTCGCTTATCATCAGCTGAAATAAAATGTGAGAGTTTCTATTTCGAGGGCAGATAATATTTTTTCATACAAGTTCTATGTTACAACATTAATCATATGCTTTATTTATTAAAACAATATCAACTTATATGCAGCTTCAAAATTGTTATAAAGCAAATTGAATGCATTCTAGTCCAAATGTACATGAAAAGAATTGAAGAAACAGGATTCTTTAAATTAATGTACAACTTGGATGTCATTGCACACTATTTCCAAAGAGCAACACTAAAATTTTAAGAAATTCCTGGAAATAGCACATATACTTACAACTTTTTTAAAGATAATTTTTCTCATCTCTCTGTCTTCATTTGTTTTTCACACAGTAATTGTATTAACAACATTCAAAAATATCTACTAAAATATTTATTAATAATTCAATGGACTAGCCATGTACTCATCTTATTAGTGATCAACTGAAAGTATGGTTCATTTCAAATATTCAGAATTGGCTGTTTTGACTTAGCATGAAACACTCTTACTTACACTGAAGTGCATTCTTAGTGCTACTCAATAAAAAAGCAAAATCAACCGTTTGACCTCATTCATGAATTTTGCCTGAAGCATTAATTATTCATAGTACAACTAATATTAATGATGCCTTGATAATGTACTATTGATTCATCAGCTCTCATGCAACAACTATGGAAAAAACTGTCAAATAATCCTTTGAAAGCAAGACAGAATGAATTCATTTCCATATTAAACTAACAAATACTGTACAGTCTTCAGAAAGATATCGTACTGAGGAATATAACTAAGTTTTCTGTAGGTATGATTCTATCTACACATATTTCAATATACATTTTTGTGTAAATATACTTTATAATATCTACCATAATAGCTTTTATTTTATTGCATCATAATACTCTGGTGAGGAATACAAGGTCTTCAATTTTAATCATTATCTGCGATTTACAAAAAACCTACCCTAAAAAAATAAGACAGTACAATGTTAAAGTCACAAATCTTGTTACATTGATTTAAAATTTTATCCCATGTCTATTGTTTTACCATGTCAACTAATACTGAAAACATCTAAACACTCTTTTGATTGTGGCAACTCCTTGATACTTATGCGCTTTATTCAGTTTATTCTTTGATAGTAAAGAATGAGATGTTTCCTAAGACGGGAGCCATTCTGTGATATTCAACAAGATTGAAAGGAAAACTAAAGGCTTTCTCACATTCTTTGTTTCTCATTTCTCCCCCCTCATGAATTTGTTTTTATTGACTTAGAAATACATTTTACACACTGTGCTGGATAGTGTCAGCTTGACACACCTGGGTTGAGGGAGCCTCAATTGGGGAATTCCTTCATTGGACTGGCCTGCGGTCATGTCCATGGGGCACCTTCTTTATTGTTGAGTGATATGGGAGGGCCCAGCCCACTGTGGGTGGTGCCATGCCTGAGCAGGTGGGCCTCTGTTGCATAAGAAAGCAGGCTGAACAGGCACCAGGGGAGGAAGCCAGTAAGCAGTGTTCCTCCCATGGCCTGTGTTCCAGCTCCTGCCTCCAGGTTCCTGCCCTGAGTTCCTACCTTGGCTCACCTGGGAGATGTAAGATAAATAAGCCCTTTCGTCCCCAAGTTGGTAGTAGTCAGAGTGTTTTGTCACATGAATGAAGAAACAAACTAGGACAGAAATTGGTACCAGGAGAGGGGTGGAATGTGGTGATTTGAATGAAAATATCCCTCATAGGCTCCAAGTATTTGGACATTTTGTCCCCAGATTATGGCGCTGTTTTGGGAGGTGGTTTGAATGAAAATGTCCCCCATAGGCCCCAAGTATTTGGACATTTTGTCCCCAGATGATGGTGCTGTTTTGGGAGGTCTTAGAAGGTGTGGCTATGCTGGAGGAAGCATGTCATGGGGGTGGGCTTAGAGAGTTCTTAAGCCTTACCAGACCTCCAGTTTCTCTCTTTGCTTCCTGTGCCTGCATGATGATGTGAAAACAGCTTCTGCTGCTCCTTTCCTGCCACCTCCAGCCACCATGCCTCCCTGCCATGATGGACTGTAATTCCCCAGGAACTGTAAGCTCAAATAAACTCTTCCTTCTATAAATTGCTTGTGTCAGTGTTTCTATCACAGCAACAGGAAAGTGACTAATACAGTAGTCGGTACCAGAGAGTAGGCTGTTGGCTGTGAAGAACCTGACCATGTAGGGTTTTGAAGAAATGTGGAAGACTTTGGAAGTTTGGGCTATAAAAGTGGTTGCTTACTGTAAGTAGAGCTTAACAGGTCACTCTAGTAAACGCCTGGAAGAAAGTAGTGCCAAGAACAATGTCATTCCAGAGGGAAATAAGGACTAAAGCAGCACTTGGGATATTTTGGCAAAGAGTCTGGCTGAAGTCTGCCCTCAATCTAAAAGCTGGCCTGAGGCTAAGTTGAAAAGCAATGGACTAATTTCTCTGGCAGAAGAAATTTCAAGACTGCCTAATATAGAAATGGTGGTGTAGCTATTAATGGTGAATATTATACAGATCTATAGTGAAAAGAGAGCAAATGGGGCAGAAAGAAATACAGTTTGGATTGAAAAAGAGCACTAGGAAGATAAAAGTTGGAGCCCTGGCATGTGATGGAGAGGATCTCATTGATAAGGAGATTAAAAAGATTAAGGAGGGGCCTAGAGATTCAAACTTAAACAATGGAGAGAGTACCTCCAGGGCAAGACCACACCCAGTTAAGCCGACCAACTTGTGAAAGGAGAATACTGCAGGGACCACTGAAGAGAAAAGCTTCTAAAATGGATAAAGCAGGCAACAATGGAGAGAGTACCTCCAGGGCAAGACCACACCCAGTTAGGGACCTGCAGGGACCACTGAAGAGAAAAGCTTCTAAAATGGATAAAGCAGGCTGGAGTCCATGCCAAATTTGTAGTCAAACTTGGCATTGTCATTCACCTGTGCTGGCTTTAGAGGCATGAAAGATGTAAGAGTGAAGGGGTCATCAGTTCTTCCTCCAACGTTTCAGAGAGCCACTGAGGCCAGGCAGCATGCAGCAAGGGTCCCCTGTCTAAATAAGGCCCTGATAGGCCATTGCACAAAGCTGTAAAGGTGAAGCCTGGTTGGCAGTGGAGACCCCAAGAAGTCCCTGATGTCAGCGCTGTGAGGTATCTGACAAGAAGACCTGCATACAGGGAGTGGTACCAGCACAAGAGAGATGTGTGCTGAATGCAGAAAAGGTAGACAGGCTGAGCCAACTAAGCCCTTTGGAAGTAAAGTCCCAGAAGTTGGACATGGAGCTACTGGATTTGGTGTTTGCCCTGCTGGTTTTTGGTCTTGTTTCAGTCCAGTATTTCCTTACTATGCTTCTATTCCTCCGTTTTGGAATGATAATGTGTATTCAGTTCCACTGTAGTTGGGAGTATGTAATTTGTCTTTTGATTTTACAGAGGCTTACACTTAAGATATTTCCCTGAGTCTCCGAATAGACTTTGGACTGTGGACTTTTGAATAGTATTGAGACTGATAATGACTATGGGGACTTTTAAAGAACTAAATGCATTTTGCATTTTATATGGTCATGAGCCTATGGAGGGCAGGGGGTGGAATGTGTGGTTTGAATGAAAATGGCCCCCATAGGCTCCAAGTATTTGGACATTTCGTCCCCAGATGATGGTACTGTTTTGGGAGGTCTTAGATGGTGTGGCTATCCTAGAGGAAGCATGCCACTGGGGGTGGGCTTAGAGAGTTCTTAAGCCTTGCTAGATCTCCAGTTGCTCTCTTTGCTTCTTGTACCTGCATGATAATGTGAGAACTTGGCTTCTGCTGCTCCCGCTCCAGCCACCTCCAGCCACCATGCCTCCCTGCCATGATGGACTGTAATTCCCTGGGAATCATAAGCTCAAATAAACTCTTCCTTCTATAAATTACTTGGGTCAGTGTTTCTATCACAGCAACAGAAAAGTGACTAATACACACACTTTGCCATTTTGCATTTAATTCTAAATTTTTCTTCAGTATACTGTGAAGTTTTGTAATACATAAATATAAATATTTCAACATTTTCCTTACTTTGAAATATATCCCTTTTTAATGGATTCTGTTTTGTTTTCTAAGGGTTGAGCCCAGAGTAAAGGATTTCCAAATTCTGTGCAATTGTAAACTGTCTTAGCAGTATGAATTGTTGGTAAATTTACCATTTGATATATGGTTAAAGGGATTGCCAAATCACTTACTTTGTAGTGTCTCCCTTTATTATGCATTCTTTGATATTCTCTAAGTATTGAAATATGAGTAAAGGACTCTCACACCTTTTCATTTGTAGGGTTTCTCTCCAGTATGAATTTTCTGATGAAACCTTAAATTTGACAGAAAACAAAAGGATTTGTCACATGCTTCACACTTGTAGGGTTTTTCTCCAGTATGAATTCTGTAATGACTCTTTAGTGTTGAGCGTGCAGTAAAGGACTTGCCACATTCTTCACATCTGTAGGGTTTCTCTCCAGTATGAACACTTTTATGACTTCTAAGATATGAGGCCTTGGAAAAGCACTTGTCACATTCTTCACATCTATAGGGTTTCTCTCCAGAATGCATTGCCTGATGTTGTCTGAGACTTGACATTCGAGTAAAGCACTTGTTACACTCTTCACATCTGTAGGGTTTCTCTCCAGAATGCACTGCCTGATGTCTTCTAAGACATGATATTCGAGGAAAGGACCTCTCACATTCTTCACATTTATAGGGTCTTTCTCCAGTATGAATTCTGTAATGTATCCTAAGTTTTGAGCTCTCAGTGAAGGACTTGTCACATTCTTTACATTTGTAGGGTTTCTCTCCAGTATGGATACTTTTATGACTCCTAAGATGTGTAGCCTGGATAAAGGACTTGTCACATTCTTCACATCTGTAGGGTTTTTCTCCAGTATGAATTCTGTAATGACTCTTAAGTGTTGAGTGTGCAGTAAAAGACCTGTCACACTCTTTACATTTGTACCGTTTCTCCCCAGTATGAATATGTTTATGACTTCTAAGATTTGAAGCATTGGCAAAGCACTTGTCACATTCTTCACATTTATACGGTTTCTCCCCAGTATGAATATTTTTATGGCTTCTAAGATTTGAGGCATTGGGAAAGCACTTGTCACATTCTTCACATTTGTAGGATTTCTCTGCAACATGTATTGCCTGATGTTTTCTAAGGCTTGACATTCGAGTAAAGCACATGTCACATTTTTCACATTTGTATGGTTTTTCTCCAGTATGAATTCTGTAATGTGTCCTAAGTTTTGAGCTCTCAGTAAAGGACTTGTCACATTCTTCACATTTGTAGGGTTTCTCTCCAGTATGAATACTTTTATGACTTCCAAGATGTGAGGCCTGAGTAAAGGACTTGCCACATTCTTCACATCTGTAGGGTTTTTCTCCAGTATGAATTCTGTAATGATTCTTCAATGTTGAGCTCACAGGAAAGGACCTGTCACATTCTTCTCTTTTGTAGGGTTTCTCTCCAGTATGAACACTTTTATGACTTCTAAGATATGAGGCCTTGGTAAAGCACTTGTCACATTCTTCACATTTGTAGGGTTTCTCCACAATATGAATACTTTTATGACTTCTAAGATTTGATGCCTTGATAAAGCGCTCATCACATTCTTCACAATTGTAGGGCTTGTCTCCAGTATGCATTTCCTGTTGTCTTCTAAGTCTTGACATTAGAATAAAAAACTCACCACACTGTTCACATTTGTAGGGTGTCTCTACATTATAAGCTCTCTGCTGTCTCATAAGAGTTGAATTCTGCAGGAAAAGCAAAAAAAGAAGAGTGCATTTTGATATGAAGTATAAGGATGAGGTAATCACACACAAGACATATATTAAGTACATGTAATAAGGATGAATAAAATTTCCAACAACATTGACAAACATTCAAGTGAACTAAAATAAAAATGTATGAATTAAAAGAGGAAACTGAAATCAAAACTGAAGTGAGAAAATTTATTCAACAAAAATAAATTTTTATGAAAAATAGAGAAATAAATGGATATACAATCAAAAGAGAGTCATTTTGAAAGCCCAAATAAATACCGACAGAGGTCAGCACTCCAAGTTATAGGCAACAGCTAAATAACAGTAAGCAAAAAGTTAATAATTAATACACTTGGGGAAAATCCCAACTCATTACAAAGGTAGAAAAGTTGCAATAATATCAGGTCTCTTGTCAAAAAAGACCAGAGGCAGAATAGCATGAAGTAATGTAAAAATACATTTATCTAAATGAACATGAACATATTAACTAAAATTGACTGGCAGAAAAGGTATCTCTTCAGATTGATGGAGGAGGAAGGGTATTTGGGAAATGCACCAATTTATGGTCAGCAAGCCAGCAGTTCAGAATTTATGGAAGCAAGCAGGATACACAGAGGAGAAAGATACTCTCATTCATGGGAATGGAAGTCAGAATATAATTGTAAAGAGTAACTGATGAACACACCATGTCCAGAAAGAATCCAGCATTAGCAACATAGAAAAGAAAATAAGGCCAATATTAATACTAACAAAAAAGGAAGTAACTATCAATGATTTATATAGTGAGAACATCAGCAAAATCATACTGAATAAAAATCCTCTCTCAATAATATTATTAAATGAATATAGCTTCGGGTTACCAATAACAAGACAGAATCTAGAAGAGTAGGTTGAAGCAAGACACAAATATCTCGTCTGTCAAAGAAACACACTTTACTGACAATGACATCCAGAAAATCAGAATTTATTATGGAAAGCAAATGACCAACTAAAAAGAATATATAAACAATTTAGAATACTATTTCCATGTATCATAAAGCAGAGTGTAAGCAAATAAATATAGAAGAAACAAAATGATCAGTACATATGAGTAAAAAGAAATTCATTTAGAGAGAATAGTTGTGAATATTTTCTTTCTTTGAAAGACTCTATCCCTGATGGCCCCTTACTAATGCCCAGATTTTGAAGTATTCCAAGTGAAACACACATATCTAAATACTCAATGCTAATATACAAAATGAGAGAAAATATGAGACTTTTGTTTCTGGGTTGGGGTATCTCATGCAGAACGCATATTAGTTACTTGTACATTGCTGTGATAATATACATCAACCAAAAGCAAAGTTCCAAATTCTTCCACATTTTTCCAGAAAACATGGTCTGGATTTTCACACCAATATCTCATTGTGATAAACTACCATGACCAGAATCAATCTAAAGATGAACACTTACTGTGGCTTACAGTTCCAGAGACCAGGTTCAAAATGGCAAGGTGGGAAGACAAGACAGCGATGTTGGCAAAAGCCAAAAGCTAAAAGACTACATCATCAGCAAATGCAGGAAGCAGAGAGAAAACCACATGGGGGGCAAGGGTGTATACTCTCAAACCATTCCCTCAGTGATATACTTGCAACAATTTTGTACCAAATTCTCTCCGAACAGTGTCATCCACTGGACACTGAGTGTTCAAATCATGAGCCTATGGGGGAAGTTTTGCATTCAAATCATCACATTCCCTGCTTTGAACCCACAGGATTGTGACCATATCATAATACTAAGTGCATTTAGTCCAACTTAGACTCTATAATCTTTAACAATCTCAACACTGTTCAAAACTCTAAAGTCTACTGTGAGGCTCAGGGAATCTCTTTACTGTAAAATCAAAAGATTTTCCCTATAAAATCAAAAGAGACAAATTACACACTTCCAACATATAATGGAACTGATTATACATTCCCATTCCCAAACGGAGGAATGGAGGCATAGTGAGGAAAAACTGAAACTAAGGAAGACCAAAGCAGTAGGGGAAACACACACATGCAAAACTATAGCTCCATTTTGGATGTCTAGGACTTTGGTTTCAAAAGGAGGCTGATTGCATTCTCCCTTTGCAGGACTCCTTGGCAGATACATCATGGCTCTAGTATCTCCACCACCATGGGATTCCACCTGCACATGATATATCTTTCACAGCTTCACACAATGGCTTTTCGGGGCATCTTGTCTTGACAGGACCTTCTTTATGCAGGGACTCTTCTGTTACATGCTGCCATGCATCAGCATCTCTGACTGCAGTGGAAGAATCAATGACTTCCTCAATCTTGTATTTTTTTATTACACCAAAACTAGCATTTGCACCTTTCTTTTTTTAATCTTCACCATTCTCACTGGCTTAAGACAAAATCTCAAAGTAGATATAGTTTGTATTTTCCTGATTGCAAAGGATTCTGTACATTTTTTTTAAGAATTTCGCTGGTGTGTGGCACATGTGTGTAGTACAACCAGCATTCGGGAGGTAGGGAGGTAGAGGCAGGCAGATCTCTGTGAGTTCAATGCCAGCCTGGTCTACATAGTGAGTTCAGGCCAGGTGGGGCTACAGAGAGGTCCTGTCTCAATAAGACAAAAAAATAATTTTTTTTTGATATACAAGTATTGAGTATTGTCTTTGCATTATTTCCATCTTTTCGAGTCCACCAGGAACTCCTGCCATGCACCCTCCGTTCCCTCTCAATTTCCTATCCTTTTCTGAGAATATTATTGATACATATCCATATGTTTATATATAGACACATAAATGGACACACACACACACACACACATATAAAATGCACTGAGTCCATTGGGTGGTGTTCATCTGTACATGTGCTTAGGACTGCCCACTTGTTATGAAGTCATGTCACAGAGAGCTGCTCCCTGGAGAAAGCTGATTCTTCCACTCTCAGCATCCACTGATTTCCTGTACCTTTTTCTCATTGAACAGACATTTTATTTCATCTTTTGAGAATTCCCTGTTTGGTTCCACATCCCATTCTTTAACTGGGTTCTTCCTATTCTTAATATTTTCTGAGTTCCTTGTTTATTCCAGAAACTAACCCTCGGTCAGACAGATTTGTGGTGAAGATTGTTTCCAATTTTCTAGGCTGCTTCTATTCTAAAACAATAGTGGTCTTTGCTGGACTATCTTAGGGTGAAAGGATGGAAAAAATACCCCAAGCAAATGGCCCTAAGGAGCAAGCAGGTGTCACAAGTTAAATATCAGACAAAATAGACTTCAAATTAAAAGTCATCAGATGAGACAAGGAAGGTTACTACATTCTAATCAAAGGAACAATTGACCAAGAAGATATTACAATCATTAACATATGTGCACCAAACTCTGGAGCACCCAATTTCATAAAATCAGTAGTCCAAGATGATGAAACAGAGATTGACACTGACTCAGTAATAGTGGGCAACTTTAATACCCCACTGTCTTCAACAGACAAGTCAACTGGACAAAGAATAAACAGAGACACATCTGAATTAAATGAAATACTACATGAAATGAACCTAATAGATATATACAGAATATTCTACCCAACTACCAAAGAATACACTTTCTACTCAGCAGCTCATATAAGTTACTTTAAAATTGATCACATTCTGGGGCACAAAACAAATCTCAACAGATACAAAAAAATTGAAACAATTCCATAAGCACATGAATTCATGGAGATTAAACAACACATTCCTGAATTATGAATGATTCAAAGAAGAAATTAAGAAATAAATAAACATATTCCTGGAACAAAATGAAAATGAGAACACAACACAACAAAACCTCTGGGGCACCCTAGAAGCAGTCCTAAGAGGGAAGTTTATAGCTCTTAGTGCCTACATTAAAAAATCAGAAAGAGCACATGTCAATGACTTGACAGTACAACTCAAGGCTCTGGAAAGGCAAGAACAAACCAACCCCAAACCTAGTAGATGAGAAGAAACAACAAAACTCAGAGCAGAAATTAATGAAATAGAAACAAAGAAATCAACATACAAAAAAGTCATTAAATCTAAGAGCTCATTATTTGAAAGGTTAGACAGGACAGACAGACCATTAGCCAAGTTAACCAGAAGAAAGAAAGACCAAATCCAAATCAACAAAACCAGAGACGAAAGGGGAAGCATCACATTAGACACCAAAAAAATCCAAAACATTATAAGGGAATACTTTGAAAATCTATATGCCACTAAATTTGAAAACCTAAAAGAAGTGGATGAATTTCTAAAATCATGGCCACAACCAAAGTTAAACCAAGAGGAGATCAAAAGCCTAAACAGACCCATAACAAATAAGGAAACTGAAACAGTAATACAAAACCCCCCAAATAAAAAAAGCCCAGGTTCAGATGGATGTGAATTCTACCAGACATTCAAAGAAAATCACCCATTACTGTTCAAATTTTTCAAAAAGATAGAAACAGAAGGAGAACTTCCAAATTCCTTCTATGAAACCAGTATCACTCTAATACCAAAACCAGGTAAAGATACAACCAAAAAAGAAAACTTATAGACCCATATCCTTAATAAACATAGATGCAAAGATACTCAACAGAACACTTGCAAACCACATAGAGACACACATCAAAAACTTCATCTACCATGATCAAGTTAGCTTTATTCCAGAGATTATAGGGATGGTTCAACATACGTAAGTCAATAAATGTAATAAAACATAAATGGACTCAAAGACAGAAACCACATGGTCATCTCAAGAGATACAGAAAAAGTATTTGACAAAATTCAACATGCATTCATGTTAAAAGTCCTTGAAGGACTTGGAGGAGGGAGCATACCTCAACATAATTAAAGCTATATCAAACATTATTAAAGCTATATACAACCCATAGCCAACATAATCCTAAATGGAGAAAAACTGGAAGCATTCCCATTAAAATCAGGAACCAGGAGGGCCATCCACTATCTCCACTCCTTTTCAATATAATGCTTGAAAC